TTTGGCAGAATGAGTTTAAAAAACATAGTATGTCAAAAAAGCCTATAGAAAATACCTGGAAACACTTTTAAGAAATAATCTCGGGTGACCATGTATGTTATTTGACGGATTGTCGCTCAAAAAAGCTCAATATATTTTGGAAACTTCTAGCTTCACTCCTTCGCTTGCGAAAAAAACAACGCGCGTGTTATTGCTAGAAATGAGACTGGACCGAGTACAAACCGAGTTGCCCAACTTCCGGTGGAGTCCCCAGGCAAAAACAATCACAGACATGCGCAGAAGGGACTGTAACCTACCTTTAAAGATTTTTCATGCATATAACAAATAAATAATCACACGGGCAAGTCGTAGAGTACCCTGCTGGCAGTGGTTTCTGAGCTGAGGAGAAACCACTGCGAGCAAACGAACGACTTTCTATCGAGTATGCGCGAAAATCACGTGATGGGAAGTCGCTAATTTGACTTCATTTCCTGTAGTTTGTTATCTGTAAACAAGCGTGGCATAGTACTGTAGTACTGTTTTATTTATTGTCGATCTGTCAGTTTTAATCGAACGACTTTTTAATTCTACACGCAGTTCACAATTTATGTATTTGTTTTAATGTCGTTATTGCCACTACTAAAATATTTTGAAATCGGTGCCTCGCCCTACGGCTACGTACAAATTGTGCATTTGAATTTCTGTTATATCTTTTTAAAATGTTGTATTTTAATATCCGATCAATATCAATTTTTTAATTCGGTCTACGAACTTTATTTGTGTTGCTTAAACGTTGGAGATTGTGTTAAGGTTTTCGTTAAATTCCAGTTCCCAAAGTTTCCAAGTATTAATATATAAATAACGTTTCCAATTACTGTTGATTTTGATAATTATTGCAATTTTTGATCGTCGCGACCTCAACCGCTACAAATTTCAACCGATCAAAGGACAAAGATCGTCGCAACGGCGCTACTGATTTCTGTAAAAGGTTGATTTTTGTTGCAGTGTTTAGTTATTCTGTTGAACACTAGGCGGTTTTCAAGTCATCTTAATATATAATTTCTCACATTTTATTCAATATTTTGTAAAGCCGTTAAAATATTTTGTAGTATATTTATAGCGCGTGTTACTATATATTTAGAGCGTGATGTTGTTTTTCAAGTGTACAACTGACTCGCATTTTACCAGCAGTGGCAAGCATTTACCCATGCGCACAACACAAAAACTTGTCAAACTTGTTTTACCGGTTGAGAATTTAATGTATTCGTCCGTGAATCTGGCCGGCGGCTATACATGAAACGATCGTTCGTTTGCTCGCAGTGGTTTTTCCTCAGCTCAGAAACCACTGCCAGCAGGGTAATTAGCAACTGACGAAAACTCGAATTCAGTGTCGAAAAATTGTAGAATGTCAGCGAGGGAACTCACACTTTTCTCAACTCCGAGAGAGTCAAAATCAAAACTTGAGTACTGCATCATTACGGAATGCGGCTCACTACAAAATCCTAAAAATTTGCTTCTTTTGCGGTG